ATTCACTATGGTAATTGCGATATTTGTAAACAACATATTACGCAATTTCCACGCAAGTTAACTACGCAGTTACTTAACTATTCGACTAACTCGTTTTGTGCAACGCAGTTTGGTCTAGCAGTTAAGGAGTTACTACGGTAGTTAAAGTTAACTATAGTTAAAGTTAACTACATTTTTATACAACCGGCCCCAGAACGAGCCTTTTTATTGTGAAAAACAGAGGTGGATCTAGGATTTTTTAAACATCAGTCATAAAACGTCGGAGGCGCTCCGCACCTGGGGGTCTGAGGCATTCTTCCCTGAGAAATTTTGAATTTCAGAGCCTTCAAATGCCATTTTCAGCGTTTTAGAGCAATACAAAATGTATTTTGTGGGCATCGTTTTTGCGTAAAAACAACACATTTTGCTTACGTTTTTTTCAAAAAAAAAATGAATTGAACAATACTTGAATGTTTTGCCAAATATTTAGGCTCATTATCATGCCAAATATATGGCTCATTAGCATGTCTAGGAACGTAAAATTTATTTTACAATAATGCTATTCAAAAACAGATGTAGCCTTTAAAAATTTCTACCAAGTTGTCAGGCATAGACCCCCCTAGAGACCCCCATTCAAACCTCTATGCAATGAGTTAAGTTGGAAATTTGGTACTACAAGTGACAGTTCATAGATATAGAAAAGCTAAACTTCAAACCATGCAAGTTTATTGTAACCCTTTACCCATCTCCACATCAGTGCCAGCAAATTCACCTTTGGAGAAAAAACTCAAAATTTTTTTCTGCCAAAGATTAAGCAAAAATTATCAAAGTGAAAATTTGCAGTTAAGGACAGCTTAATGTCATAAATGTTTATTAGGCATTTCACTAAACTATTATCTTCTGCAAGGTATAGCAATCACTAGTAGCATTGTATTTGCCAATACAAACAGAATGTAACCAACATGTCTTTAATTATACAATTAAATGAATGTTAAAACTGGTTCATGTCTCATGCTTACTGGTTATGATAAATATCTTTTCATATGATCAAAGCTTGGTTAAAAGTAAATCTGAAATAATTTACTTTAGAAATTATAATGATCATCCGAAAAATTACCTAGTGATCATGAAAAATACTTTGCTGTTTTGCCAAATTTCAAGGTTTATCTGCATACATAGGAAGACATTTTTACTTTATAGAAAATGCTTTTCATACATCAATAGCCCTTTGGAATTTATGGCAAACAATCTGGTATGAGCCTAGATCAACACACCTTGACATCTCTACATGAGGTGTCAATTAGAAAAGGGTACAATATGTGACATGGGACAACATTTCATGTATGTGAAATACTCAGGTTTAATACCATTTCAGTCAAATTGTCAAAATAAAAAGCTTCATGGATCAGAAGACTCAAAATCACAGGTTATAGTAAACAGCTTCTCATGTAATCAATGTTAGTTTTCTCAAATCTTAATCAATATGTAGTATAACTGTCCAATGATTGAATGATCAATGATCATAAACTGAAAAGCCCCAAACATTTGTTTATGATAAAGTAAATAATAGTATGGCGGCTTATGGCCACAGATTTTTTGTTCATTGAAATATATTTGCAGGAATGTAGGATTTCGCTGTCATATAACGGTCACGATTCCCAAGCACTAAAGAAATCATAGCTAAAAGTCCTTCGGCAACAACAATTTTAGAAGCATCAATCTGCTTACCATACGCCATATTGACATAAATCGCATCACACACTCGCATAAATTGACTTTAATATTTTACATTCATGCATACACTTCAGTTGTCCTTTACTTACGATTTTGGATGTAAATTTCTGCTGATAAAACTCAAAACAAAGTTGGCTTGCTTTTGAACATCAATGACTGAAATGTCGCTCGCGAGATCGTCTTTGCCAAACATTTACAATTCATCCATAAATTTTTCGCCCTCTTGAAAAAATTCCCAGTTTGGAAAGCAGCATTCATGTCAATATATGAATTTGTAAAAGATTTCCATAAATTCCATCTGATTATAGTTTAGTTTCTATCAGGCTTATAAAAATTACTATGAAACGATCAAACATTCAATTCAGACAGTGAGCTTGACTATGTTAGTTCAGTTGGCTATCAGTCGAAATCGGTCAAACCAATCACAGTAAGACAAAAATTCAAATGAACCAATTGTAAGATAGCAATTTGACTCCCTTATAGGTCCGGCCACCCCTATTATCGGTCGAGATTATTCCAGACTGTCCACTGATATGGCCATTGACCAATGAAATAGCGTTTCTGGCGTTCATAGACTCCTTTATAAGTCGAACCAGTCAAGCCACCCCGCTTATCAGTCGGTTATTCCAGGTCAATTAAAATTCAACTGATCTAGTTACCAACGAGATATTCATTGGATTAGTCATTAGTTTTCAATAATAAATAAAGCTGGATTTTTATCACGAAGTAAATGCGATAATAAACTAAGAATAATTAATGAATTTTTAATTAATATGAATAGGTAATTTGTGAATTTCAAACATCAGTCGCGCGACGGATTTGACATACTCTAGATCCGCCCCCTGGTGAAAAACACCGACGTTTGCGAAGTAGCTACGGCTCCATTTGTCAATAATGATATCAACTAATCGGTAATACTGATTTTGTGAGAACATAGGACTCTTTGAAGTGAAAAATCTTCACTATTTTAAATTTTATGTACGATATATTAATACTATTTTATTGTTTGTTTATCGTTCATTTTGCGTACGAAATACATGAAAGTTTTCAAGGTCATATTTTCCTTTTAAATGTACATTTGCGCTCAAAAAAGGTTCTAAAGTAAAGCCTGGTTGTTCGAAAATAGTACTGCAAACTAATTTCTTACAAAATGAAAAAATATACCTATTTTCTTTCCTTAAAATAACATCGTGGTTGCGACTACGAATTTTTTACAAAACGTCGTACTCAGATTGATGACGGAACAATGCTGAACCACTGATCTCGAAAAAAGACTGGATTAGGCAACTCTATATTTAGTTGTTGTAGAGTTCAATGATTTATAGCAAGCAAATTTTGAAGCCACTGCCGCCATTACTAAGGGACCAACACATCGAACGATTTTTCAACAAAACTATGGAAAATATAGCAATACATGGCCAATTTATTCTTTAAGATAAGGCAGAAGATGAAAAACAACCTTTGTGGCGATACAAAAGCGAGTCAGAAAGAATATTCAGCCGTATAAAACAAAACGCATACAGGTTTTACTCCAAATCACCGTAAAAAGGGCTTGTAATTTTAAAAGATTGATCAGTTTATGATTGTAAATGAGATTATTTAATCAGGTTGTACTTCTGAACTACGATTTCAACAATTCTAGTTATTTCCATGCAGTTGTAGGCTATTTCCATAGTTTTCCTATACCACAGTAGAGTTACCGATGACAAAAATTGCTGCATTTTGATCATATTTCATCGTATTTTTAGCTCTTCTATAAACTAATATATCCCTCAGTTATGCTCATGTAGTTACATGTTGAAAATTCTTGACTATTCTCGTATAAATCCAAAATATATTTGCTCCTTATTTTCGAAAGTTGGTCCCTTAGTAATGGCGGCGCTCTTTATTTTTTGTTTTCAACTTTGTGCTAGATGCTTGATCAAGACTCATTTCGAGATCAGTGGTCGGTTCGCTATTTCCCTCGTGTAATATAATAACCCTTTGAACTCAAACTCTTTCTTTTTAAATCTGTTAAATTTATTTCATTATCTAACTTGGTGTCTTTCGCACAATCTGCGCGAAGTGCTGGTTCACTGTTCTAAACTTCACACTAACGATGGGACTGTATTTTGAATATATAATTTTAACACTTCAATAAGATATTTACAGTGTTGTGCACGATTTTACGTTCCAAGCGTTGGTTCTTCGCGATACGGAATGATTAGATTTGATCTCGTTAAGATTACGGACAACCGTCAATCCTACAACTGCGTTTTCGAAATTTATTGCCTTCTGCAACACAACTCTAATTCATCAAATTTGTATGACCAGTTCATACACCAACAACTACAACTTTTCCGAACTCCCGAACCAACGCTTGCAAGCTATATTTATGTGTAATTATTAGGATATGATTTTTGGGCGTTTGCATGACTTGCACTACGCCATTCCGTTTATAGAGTACCGTCATTACCTACATCCTACCGCAATGCCACATTGGGTAGAAAAAGTGTTCCTAAGTATTTTGAATTTACGTACAGGATTTCCACTGAAACCACAGTTTAGTAACTATATACGTATTTGTCTAGTAATATATGACTTAACATTTTACATAAACATAATATCCGTTATATCTTAGTATCAAAAATATGACACAGTCACACTCTACATAACATAACATGACAATTTACAACAGTGTCAGTGATAGCCATTTTATATTCCCATTCTAACAAACATCAATCGCAACGATTTGGCAACGATGAAAAGCGTTCTGTTTTCTCATATACGTATCGCAAAAGATTGATTTAATTGAAACCGCTTTTCATGTATGCAAAAAAGTGCACGAATACATATTTTTTGGGTCAAAAATGATGTCGACTAATGTGTGAAATCCAGCGTTTAGATAAATTGTTTCGTTTCATTTCATTATTCGTGGAGAGCAGCATTCAAATATCACATGAAAATTATTAACGAATTCCCAAGCACTTGGTTATTCAATTTTGAAGAAAATCCGCAATATTTTAAATTTTCTAACAAAGATGTACCTTTTAAGTTGTGCTATGATATAATTATGACATGAGGCACTACACGGGTGGTAAAAATATTTATGTGAAGTATTGAAGTGATCAAACTGGTAAAATCGTTAGAAACCATACCCCTGCATGCTCAACGCAATCCATCTTGTCTGTCAGAAAGACATATTTTTATTTAGGATTTTTACATGCAAACTAACGAACGAATAAGTTCAAGCCAGTATGCAACATATTGAACATAATTTGATTTGTTAAATTCGTTTAAAATTATAGAGTCACAAATTGACGGAGATATGATGGTAACAGCAAACAATAGTGTAGCTTTAAACTGGACTTTAAACTTTCCAAGCAATTTAAATATTACCGGTTATAAGTTTCTCATTCGTTGGGAGAGTGAAAATAGAGAAGTTTGTGATGATGGACACATTAAACAGAACTCGGTAGGCAAGCCTGTTGTTTGCAATATGGAACTTGAACCATGGGCAAGTTTTCTCATTTTTTAGAGGGGAGATGCTAAAAATTTCAGGTAGGTGAGCTCTTTAATAAGTGACGTAGAGACAAAGTAAGGAAGTAACAATTTTTCGGGCAATCATGCATTGCAGCAACAGTTAATGGGAAGTTGAAACATTGCCCAGAAATTGCTCATGGTTAACTCTACTACTATTGAGGGGTTAAAATGTTTCTTAAAAGAGTAAAAAATTTATTTAAGGGACCAAGTCCGTTATTTCGAGGTGTGGCACAGCCCTAAACTCCCAGAAAATTTGCCCATGGCACGAACTACATATTTTTACAACAATATTCTACAATATACCAGATGCTTTAGAAAAGTTAGGGTGTAGGTTATAACACTTTATTTTTTATTGAGTATATTTTTTGTATATATTTAGATCATTTTAACACACGTTCATGTTGTTTTTTTAGACAAAATCAAATTACACAATATTAAGTTTATCTAATCGCTGCAATTACACAATAGTGGTAAGTATTGTGGTTGAAACTTGCATAATTGCAGTGCCTGAATATTTATGCTTTTGAGACATGTTAACGTTTTAATGTTTTGTTATAGTGAACATAATCAACGTATGAATTACTTAGTGAAAAAATTCATTTATGTACATATAGGCTAAGTTAGAACAGTGTGTTCATTAATTTTAAATGGGACCAAATCAACAATTCACCATATTTGCACCGCGTACTGAATTCGTGTTTTGCAGCGACTTATGACTTATTTGCATTTTGATATGCACATTTTCCTGTTTTGATATCTATTTGATTGAATATACTTTTGTTGCATTTAGATAACCTTGCTCTTCACGGAATCCAGTAATATCAAATGCATATTCAAAAAGACGAAAATATTTCACTACATAACTCCAAGACATATAGGTTTGGAACCACGGGCCGGTTGTACGAAAGGCGTTTAAACTAAACGACGTTTAGCCGCTATAAACCGTATAAATTCCTTATCCGTTGGATAGTTAAACGATGGTTAAAATTGCGTTGCACGAACGCCATTTAGCTTAGCGTTTAGCTATTGGCAGGATAAGCTGAAATTTACACGGGGGAAACAAGATAAAACCTGGTTTTGCTATTTAATCACTAGGTAACTAGGCGGTAAAACTCGAGAATATTAATAATTACTGACTGTATTAAGGGCCTGTTTATATGGGGAGCCGAGTTACCCGGCTGAACGATTTACTCGCTTAACTGAGTTTGACAAAGTGATCTGTTTATATGGCACCGGGAAGTACTTCCGTTCATTTGTCTTAAATGAAGTTTGGCTATGCTAACTTCGAGTAAAGGCCATTGAGTTCTATAATAACTGGAGGGGGAAAGGGGCCTGGACCCCGTGGTCAAAAACATGGCGGTAATGGCGGATTTTGGTTGTCAAAACTTCCACTTTGAGAAAAATTTTTAACATTCGCTCCCTCCCGAATCCGGAACTCTATTACTGCTTATATTAATGACAACCAGCGAAAACAACCACGATACCGTAAGCATAAAATATTGCTTAAGATTTTTGTGAAATAGACACACACATTTAAATGAGGTAAATCTACTGTAAAATAACGTATATTTTGTCAAGTAATGCTTTAGCTATGTTAGAATTAAATATCAAACGGCATTCTTTACACTGTCAATGTGTTGTTAAGCCTGGTTCACATATGCCTGCGGTGCGCCTGCGAAATGACCGCCGACAAGACCTGCGCTTATTTATTGTATATGTGAACAATCGCTCGCCGGTAACGCAGGTTATCTGTGTCAACATCGGCGGCCTGCCGGGAAAGTTGACTAGAGTTCAACTTTCCCGGCAAGTTTGCTATATGTCTGCGGTATACGGCGGCAATTTCATATATGTGAATGGTCCGCCGGTATGCCTGAACGATTTGTCGAATCCCACAATGCATCGGTCTGATGTGGATAACATGGCGGACGAAATAGCAAAACGCACACTACAAAGCACCGAAATGGACGAAAATAACAATTCAGACACCAATGAAGTTATTGAAACAGTCAAGAACAAAGCACTTATGGATACCATACGTATATATCGTGCTATATACGATAAATCGTGTCCAGATTACAAAAATCAAAGGATAAAACAAAACGCTTGGCAAGCTGTGGCAGAAGCTTTGGAATTGGACGTTGCAAGTGTGCAAAAAAGATACAACACAATACGAACAAATTTCTCCAAGTACATAAAGAATATTAAGGGAAAATCAGGCAGTGGTCGGGCAGATATTGAAATCAGGCCTGATTTAGAACATCTGCGATGGTTAATTACACATATTCGACATCGTCAGACAACAAGTAATTTTTCAACTTCCACGAACTATCCTCTTGGGCAAACTTCCCATGCATCAATAGAACTAACTGATGAGGGAAGCGAATCTAGTAAGGTTAGCACGGTGTTTGTAGACGATGATTCGGACGATATATCAGCCAGTTTTTCTGATCAAACCTCATCCAATGGAGGACAAGACTTGGATCCAGATATTGGTAGTGGTAATAATGATGCTATACAGATGGTCAAAGATAGTAAAACGCTTGGCAAAAGAAAGATATGCTCATTAGAAGAAGAAAAATATTGCAGGCCATAGGCAAAGAATAAAAAAGTTAACACAGCACTTGGGTTTGAAAAGGAAGTCATGAAGACCATGCATGGCATCAATTCCGCCATATTGCAACTTTCTTCTTCAGATGCTGACATGGGAAACATTGCCAAAAATGATGAAGATACATTGTTTTGCTTGAGCTTGGTTTCCAAATTCAAACGCATCCCAACTTCACACAAGTCTTTGCTCCAGCTAAATATTTTGAAAGTGATGAACGAAATGGAAATGGAATGTAATGCCCAACAACAGGCCACACAAAAAAATCCATACTTCTTCTCACCCCCCTAACCCATGGATGCAGCACCATAATTTAAGTCAGCAAAGGATGAACTTCAATAACAATCTTGACCAAGGAGATTGTTAGTTTCTTAAAAGAAGTTAAGAACTTTAAATAGATGAATTATTATTGCTTGTTTACAAATTCCTCCCTTTACATTAGGGTTTTCAGGATTACATATAGACCCAAATATTGTATTTTGCAAATTTCATATTTAGCTGATAAACATTTCAGCATCTTTTTCCACAGTATCTAACATAATCTAGCTGCCAGGGCAAGGCTCCATAGTTGCTTTTAAAATATTCACAATAATGCTCTCTCACAGACTTTGCAGTAAATGAATAAGAATTGCTCCCAACTCGTCGAACTGCTTGCAAAGTGCTCTCATCCCCTTGCGTGATGTGTCTCCATTCCCCATTAAAAATATTCCCAGATCCATCTTCAGCATCAACAAAACCTTTTGGAATATAATATGCGTTTTGAGTTAATGACAAATAATTATGCAAGCATACAGTTGCTTGAACAATAAGATCTACAGTTGTAATTGCAGCTCGAATTGGTCGTCTATAAATTCTCCACCTAGCTGCCAGTATTCCAAAGGTGTTTTCAATGGTTCGTCTGCATCTAGACAATCGATAATTAAATATAGCTTGTTCTTGAGTAAGACCTTTTCCAGGAAATGGTTTCATCAACCAGGTTTTCAACGGGAAAATGTCATCTCCAGTGATAACATAAGGCAACACATATTCACTAGCCATAGACGGTCCTGGTATGCCAAGTTGCCCATTTTCTATTTTTTATTTATCTCAGTTTGCGAAAATATAGCTGCATCATTGTCACGCCCGTAGCTTCCAATGTCCACAAATAAAAACCTATACTTTGCATCACAAATCGCCATGATCACAGTACTGTGATAATTTTTATAGTTGTAAAAGAGAGATCCAGCATTTTTGGGACAGTCGATGTTTACATGCTTTCCATCGATAGCTCCAATACAATGAGGGAACCCCCATTCTTGAAGAAACTCTTCTGCAACACCATGCCATTCCCTTTCTGACTTGGGAAGCTTCAAGTACTCATCTCGTAATGCTTTCCAAATTGCATCACAAACTTCTCTTTTGATCATACACACTGTGCTTCTACCAATTCGAAAATTGAATGATTGGGATTCTTGTGAGTCACCTGTGGCAAGATATCGTAGTGTAACCACCAATCTTTGTTTAATTGAGATTGTTTCTCTACTCCGGCAACTTCGTTTCTTCATACATGGTGCAACTAAACTTAACAAATGCTCCAATCGTTCAGGACTCATTCTTGTGAACCTTGAAATAAAAACGTGTTCATCTCAATTCTAGTAACAAGTTTGCACACAAACGCCTGATAAAATTTTCAAATATAAAACTCATATAATCGAGCAATGCTCCTCGCATAAAATACAGCCCTATACCTGAAAAAGTATTCACGATCATGCAACTGTAATTCTTTTAATAAACAGTGAAATTGACCGTAGTTCTTGCGTTGTTGTAGCATTGGTCTAACCCAAAACCTTCTTTTCCTCTTTTGTGCTCTCATTTTTCTTCCCTGCACGTAAGTATTTACCAAAGTTAACAGTAATGAGTAATTTGAAAGAAGTAAAGAAGTCAAGCGTCGTTTATTTACCGCCATTTTTGTTTTGAAGAAAATTACCACATAAAGAAATCTCAGGCAAGTGCAGAGATACCGCAGGATACCGGCAGGCTGCCTGCGAAATCATACCCAAATCATACCGCAGGAAAAACGCAGGCACACCGCAGACATATGTGAACTAGCCTTTAACCTTAATGCATAATCCCATGCGCAATACTTGTGTTTTTGACTATTTTTTAACAGCTTCGTGCAACTGTCTTTCTTGAATAGATGGGTAAATCTTAGTTAAAATCTGCAAAAAGGAGTTAGAAAAAGTTAGCTTACCCCTACGACTTAAGTCGACTGGAAATATATTATAAGTAGGTATGTATTTTTTTTGAGTTTTTTTTTGGTAGGATTGATTCTGGGTGTCTTATAAGGTATTATGATATTCTGATAAATCTACTGAGAACTTATGAAGAAAATATCTTGAACTAGGAGAGCAAAAGAACGAAATTCAGAAATTCTATAATCATGTTGCTGGTTCTGTTTTGAGCCAAGATATTAGAAACTGGATTATCATTGACAACCATGGATCTACTACTGAACAGAACTACATTAATTTCCCATTGAAAATACGATTTCTTAAATTAAAGTGCATTGGTTTCTCTGACATAACACTTTTCTTATTGCTGCATGAAGGCAAACCTGTTTAAATAATTATAATGTGGGTGAAGATATTTAGCATGTTGTATAATTGTTATTATACAGACATTATTTATAATATTATGGCCTTGTGTAATGTATGTCAAGAACTTATTAATTCTCAAAAATGCTAACCTTCTTGCACTACTTTTCTCTTGTGTCCTTACAAATTACAGTTACCTATACTAATTTTTTCTAGGTTCAAACAACTTGACAAATTTTTGAATTTTACATTATGCCTTTGAATTTTTCTTTTTGTCTTTTGGTAAAAATATCAGTAAATAACTTAAAAATCAAGTTTATCTAAAATAGTATTTTGTACAAAGTAACTATACATAATTGGAAGTCTCATGTTGAAGGCAGATGTGGCTTCTTTTACTAGATTGCTACTCTTATTCTTTTAAATGATATCGTAATTCTTCAAAAGACATAAAAAGTTCTTTGTCATCAATTTTTGCTTCTTCCACATTCAACTTCATTGCAACCAATGCATCTTATGTGAATTTTTAATCACCTGGAATTGAAAAACATATGGACTTTGTCAGATGATGCAGTACTGTATTTAATGTTTCATGCATGTCATGATAAGCTTTTCTTGAGCAAATATTTCAAGGTAGGAGCAAAATTTGGCACATTATTGAACAAAGTAGTTTTTATCTTGATTTTGATGTACTAACCTGTTT